TCTACCAGGAGAAGGACTCTGCTTTATTTATCATCACACCCAGTGCCTGTCACTGGGCTCTTCACACAGCACGATAGCCCTCTTTAACCACGAGGAATACGTTCCAATACTCCTAGTGGATGCCAGAACCCTGGAGAGTACTGCTCATGTCTCCTACTCACAAATGTAATGCTTTTTCTACCTAACTAAGCACTTATTGTGAATTGTGTCCATAACTTTTCTGTTTGAAGAGCAACAGCAAAACTGGGAAGAATTTTTTTCTCCTTCACAATTTTGTGAATAAAAGATTTGTTCTTACCATAAATCCTAGCAACCTCAGTATAGATTTTTTTCTTTACTCATTAAGTCAAGGACTTCAACTTTTCACTTAAAGGAAGTACTTTATGCCTTTCCTTTGCCGTGTCCAAATTGCCAGCATCACTATTTTTGCACACTGGGGACATTATTAAGTAAAAGAAGGGTTACTTGAACACAAGCACTGTGATACTGTGATAGTCAACTTGGTAACTGAGACAGCTACTAAGTGACTAATGGGCAGGTAGCATATCCAGCTTGGATACACTGGACAAAGTGGGACAGAATGAGATTTCTTCAGGCTATTCAGCACAGCATGCAGTTTAAAACTTATGAGTTGTTTATTCCTGGGAATATTCATTCAATATTTTTGGACTGTGGTTGACAGCAGGTAAATGAGACCTAGGAAAGTGCAGCCGCAGATAAGGGGAACTATGGTACAGACTGAACATTTGTTGAAGGGAGAATGAACAGCCTGCCTCTACAGAGCAAGCAGTGCACTGCATCCCCTACTGTACACTCTTCTACTTGCTGAAGGAGTTCATTTCCCCTCTCCTCAATGCTACCTCCTCATCCAAAACTGACTTGACAGGTTTCCACTAAAGGAGCAGACCACACCTGCACTGAGCTCAGAATTCAGGAGAATTAGGACAAGACTGAGTATAAATCTGCGGAGCTTCCGGAGTAGAGAACAACATATGGCTCAGGATGGGCAGCAGGGCGAGATCAAGAACAGGAAAAAGCAGATGGACTGCAGTATTCACAGAGCCTCTGCCAGGCTTATGAGAGGAATAACTGAATTCATGAAGGGATGTGTCTGAGATAGTGACAGTTGCCCAATCTTCTATTTTATCCATGAAACTTCTTCCATCCACTGATACTGTAAGACATAGAGATCTGGCAATAGTACTCACATCTTGAAAATCACTTCTGGTATGCAGAGCTTAAAGGTTTAGTGACATAGTGACAAGGGTTTCTGTCCAACTGTTCACAATTTCAAAAACCACTTTGGCCGGTGTGCTTCAGTGGTTGAGTGTCAATCTATGAACCAGAAGGTCAGAGTTTCATTCCCAGTTAGGGCACATGCCCAGCTTGTGGGCTCTATACCCAGTAGAGGATGTGCAGGCAGTAGCCAATCAATGATTCTCTCTCATCATTGATGTTTCTATCTCTCTCTTCTTATCCTTTCCTCTCTGAAATCAATAAAAATTTACTGACCTGGGAGGGGGGGAAAGGCTGGGATGAGGGGGAAATAGGGGGGAAAATGGGTGATATCTGTAATACTATCAACAATAAAAAATATATTAAATATATATACACATGTATATTAAAACATTTTAATTTTACCTAGTATAAGATATAATTTTGATGTTAAATACGTAATTTTAAATGCGAAACCATAGTTTCAAGCATAAAGATACATGTATATTTCCGATACTGCTGTGGGAAAAGTGAAGATATTAATATAAATTTTTCTCAGTTATATTTCTGGTTCTCAAGGTTGACAATTTTAAAATTAGCTTAATAAGTTACCACACTTACATGATTAAATCCATTCTTCTCCCATACATATTGGTCATGAGAAGTCCCTGTATCATATAACTAAATTTGTACAAAAATTGATGCCCCTGAAAAAGGCCACACCCTTGAAACCTGAAAAACTATGCCCACTGAGAGAAAAATGTGGATGCAGACTCCCTGTCAATTCAAGGCTGACTCATCTGAGGCTGTGAAGAAGTGAAGAGTTATGTCAAAAGCCTCAATACAGATGATACTCAATGATCCAGTCCAGGATGTGAATTACCATGGCACAGAAAGATCATTTCTAGAAAAGAGGAAGTAGAGGGGTCAGGAACAGAATGCCAAAATGAAATCCTGAAACTAAATAATTTGATTTTTTACTTAGAATCATTTTTAATCTCTCAAGTTGTTGACTGATTTTCTGCTTCACTTGATACTATTGGGGTTTTCCCCTTGTATTCCTCTGCTACCTCAGCTCTGGTTGTCCAAGAACCACAGTTTAAGTTTTAGTTCTCATTTGAGTTGGAGGGGCCTCTTCCTTTACCCATCCTTAAGCATTATTTTTAGCTAGGGCTCTCTCTGGTATTTATTTTTTCTAATTATGTATCCATTGGTGACACAATTTACTTTCCCAGTTAACTGAGTGCTTCAGTTTTATATCCCCAACTACTTCTAGGAAGTATACCCTTGGTTAAAGCACAGGTACTACAACATCATCATATCAAAATCTGAACTACTCACCACTCACCCACCCCTGGGACTGGTTTGATTCTTTTATTCTCTCTGGTAATGATACTTATCACCCAAACCAATGATATGATAATCCCCCAAACATTTTCCTTAAAACCCATGTGGAGCTGACAATCACCCACTGCCCTTTTGCCTTCTCACTCAACTCTTGAAATGCTTGCTTCACTCTCTGCTACTCCTCTAGGCCAAGACCTTACCATATTTCTCTGGACTATTACAACAGTCTATTAACTGATTTGTTTATCTCTAGTTTTTCCCACATCACATTCATATGCCATTTTCCCCACCTCTGTCAAAGGAAAACATACTTGACATATAAATAGAATAAATATCTGACTAAGCCACTCTCCTGATTAAAACCCATTGCCAAAACCTTGTAAATAAATATAGTATTTATTTATATTTTGACCCAGTTATCATATACAGAGATCTAAATTTATCCTACCAATATCAATCTGAAATGCATTTTTATTTCCTCATCTATTCCGTTAAAAAATAAACAAAAAAACTAGCTTCTACTGATTTTCAGACTCACTAAAAGATTATGAATTATATATTTAAAAACACTGATCTACAAGCTTGAGCCCATGCTTAATCACCTCTACACTCAATTTATTATTGTCCTTTCCTATCAACCTAGAAAGGCACATATGTGACACACACCACTGTCTAAAGAGAATCAGTAGAAATAAGGAATGAGTTGCAAATTTTAAATTCTTCAAGTCACATAAGAGAGGTGTACTATTTTAGTTAGAAAAGTATAGAGTGAGCAAGGGGATTGTAGAAAAGAGAACCCAAAAAGACTATTTACGCCCTGCAACTATACTCAGAGGGACCACCAGGAAAATTTCACTAAGTACAAGGTAAGTTACAATGGATTTCCACAACTATAAGTCTATGGAAAATAAAATCAAAATAAGGGAAAAAAATCTAAAATATTGGTGGGAGGGATATCAAATGGTTTTTGAATGAGTGGGACCAATTTAAATGAAACCTCAGTAAGTGGAAAATATTTTTAAATAAATGTGAATTCCTCAAAATGCTTTCCCAGAAATTGCTTGAATCCTAATATAAGAAAAATATTTTCTGCAACCTGAAGCATAAGGTAGAAAGTGAGGATCACAAGTTTTCCATCATCAGGAAGATGGCTTTATAGTAAAAACATTTGTAGAAGAAAAAATGGCAACATGATTAAGAGTACTTCAAGCTTTGTATTTTTTTCCAATGTGATCATCAATCATTTTTTACTAGGATTGAATCAAAATTATTTCAATTCCTTAAAAAGTACTGATTAAAATGTAGAATGATATTCAAGTATACTTTTTGAGATAAAATCTACAACCCACCAATGAAGCCTCTTGAAATTTATTTAACAAAATGTTATATCCTAAAGTATAAATAATTTTAAACTATTTGTGACTATATGTAATATACAAAAAATATGCATTTAAATCTTTATTTAATTTAGGTCTTTGCTAATGTTAATAAAAATTCGTTGTCATAGCAAAAGTATTACAAAAATTTAGTTCTCATAGTTTTTGGTTTTGTTTTTGTTTTTTGTTTTTTTTTACAATTTTATCCCTTTATTTTGGTCTTGTTTCAAAGAACTTTCAGATAGCTAAGAAATCTACTTAAAAGTAACTTTTAAGACACATTTCTTCAAAAGCTTTTGCTAAAAACCTTGGAAGGAGGCATTTTCCTAGTTATAACTACTTGGTTATGATAATTCTGTTGAGCATTGCTACTGCTGAGACATTTTAAGGGCAGGTTTAATTTTTCTACCAGGACCATAATTCTTCTCAAAAGACTGAATACATCATGCTAATCTGCAGGATTTTAAAGCTCTTTACATTTGATCACATCAAAATCTGCATTCATAACCCAGTTTACTTATTTGGCTTCTTCTCCACTTCCTTCTTCAGTTGGTCACTTAACTCTTCAGTAGTATCTACACTTGAGGTTGCAATTATAAAGATAAAACTAGTTGGGCCATCCGCTCTTTCAGATTGCCCATTACCTTTAAACAACGGGTGTGAAGGTGGGTAATGGACTGCCTATGCATTTCCCTTTTCCACGCCTGCCACCCCATCTGTCCCTTGCCTCCGACTTTGCCAGAGTCTTAGTTTCTAGTCCACATGCATTCCACATCCAAAAGGTATAGAATTCCTGCCACCCTAGAGCTCCCAGAATGTGTCTGTTTTCTCAAGTTTTATGCTTCTAATGTGGCATTAGAAACATCACTTAACAAAGAAACTTAACACAGAGTTCATGTTTGCAGGTAAATTTATCTAACTCAATAGTAGCCTTTTTATTACACATACAACAGAGTAGCCAGAATATCTATGCCCACATGCAGTGTGAATTAATAAATCCTGCAACTAGAGGTCTGTGTAAGAGAGGACATTTTCAGTCAATAAAACCAATGCCATACTCACGGTGAAGGTTGGTGGGGCTGGTTTTCAGCATTTCTTGGTGTTTTGCAGGCAGCAGGCTTCGCCATGTCCCTGACAACACACCTGGGGCGCATGATAGACAGCACAACGCACTATTAATTATAAAAAGGGTAGAACAAATCTGGAAATTAAACACGGTACTAAAAACACAGTCTAGGGGGAAATCTTAGCCAGCCCCTGAAATAACCTGAGGTCCTGGAAAAGCCCTTAGTGCTGGAGATCTTTGACGCGGGCTTCCAAGAGCTCAATTATACCCAAATAAAACCTGTGCTAGCCTCTGTATTTCCTTTTAGCACCAATAAAATGATGGTCAGCAGCTCTCCCCATAGAAGAGAGGCCACTGGAAGCTACGGCCTCACCATATGAAGACATTTGAAAGCTTTAAAAATAGGAACAGCTGTTGTGTTGATATGTTAAAAGATGAACAGGATTTTCTGTAGCTTTGGCTATTTTACTAAGACTCCTGTCTCATACCATTCATCACAACACAGGTCTTTCCTCTTAATGTGGAAAGGGACCTGAGAGGCCTCTAGACAGCCTCATGTTCAAAATCCCATTCAAACTAAGGAAAGAACTAGAAGAAAATATTCATATATACAGTATGAGTGTGCCTGTGTGTGTAAAATAAGTAGAGAAGATATATGCACAATGTGGGAAAGTAGTACAAGGTCTTTGTGTCTTAAGTCCTCCATCACAGGATAAATAAATGCAGAAGGTAGACGATGTAACAGAGCTGCAAAGGGCAGCAGGAGACACACTCTTACCCTCATGTCAAGAGGGCTTACAGATGATCAGAGAGATTCCCTGGCAGAAACCAGAAAACACCCCATCAGAGGCTGTACCTAGATAGCTCAAATATTCTTCTCGCCTCAAAAGCTTAAAAACGAACATTGCTTTATATAGGGAAGCCTTGGTTATAAAGCTGAGACCCCCACATCTTACACTCTGCTAAGGGACCCAGGATTCTCAAACATAAATCTGGCTCTTAAACTTCCATGGAGTTTTCTTGGAGGTTTTACTACACTACTTATACTTAAGGCCAGTCATGTTACTCCAGAAGTGGATTCTTGGTGTGGTAGTGGCAGATCAACTTTTCCCAGAGCTAAAAGCTGCATGGCTAAATTCTCCACTTCTGAAAGAATGATATAGGGACACAGGGACACAACGCACAGAAACGTGCACACATACACACTGCTCATTCCAAACAAGGTCAAGTAAGACTTAAAAACTGATATGTAACGACGTGACAAAAAAAAAAAAAAAAAGAAAAAAAAAACAGTGCCATTTCAAAGCCCCAATATGTCCCTTCTGGGGCAAGGTAAAAAAAAAAAAAAAAGTGACTTGTCAAGTGCTAATGCTAAACTCTGAAGGGAATGGTCAATCCCTCAGGAACCACAAGGACCTCCGTTTCATTCCAGGCTCATGGGAAGAGATGGCCACCCAGGCTGCAGGGTTAAGAGAACATGTAAGGTAGCAGTGGTTAGGGAGAAGTAATATCCTAGAATTCCTGAACTCTGTGCAATTTTAAATCTAACTTATACAGAGTACAATGCCCAGGAAGTTAAATTTCATAGCACTGGAAAATCTTCAGCAATTCTCACCCAGCTAAAAATAGCACATACAGCATGTTTAATCTACACGTACTGGTTTGTGAAAATATCGGAAATATCACCCATTTTAGAAAAAGTTTTCAAGAACTACATCTGTGAGAAACCATATGCAACCTTCTTAGTTCATTTCTTTTTTTTTTCTCCTAAAGTTTCAGGTATTTAGTAACAAAGCTTTGAAATAAATCTGCTATTTAATTAGTTTTCCTTAAATATGCTCTTAAGTGAATTTTTTTAAAAGCAGGACAACATATATTTTTCATACTAACACATCCTGGCCACAAAACTATGATATGGCCAACTACTGAATCTGAGTTTTTAGGGGGAAAATTATCTGTTCCAAGTTGCTAATTATTCAACCAATTTAAGGGGGCTCTAAACTATGCTAATATATATTCTAATATATATTCCTATATTTTCTAATTTGAGTTATTTTTAGCTGAATTTTTTCACAATATAAGAAAGCCCTATACTCAGATAGATACAAAGACACATAAAGAGACATAATATACTCATAAGGTTTTTGTTAGCCTGAGTAGATTAGCACATCTCTAAAATGAAAATTGATTGTTGTATCTGGCATATCACAGTTTGGAGGGATAAGATGTAATAGTTTTGACAGTTCTAATGTATAGAAATTGTTTAGCCTCCAGTACTTTTCAAGTATCTCCCGTGCATTAAAGTTATTATAATAAGATAGACCTCACATACTCTAAGAAACACAACTATGATATTTCAGTAAATGTGGACATTAGGGATCTTTCTCTACATATGATTTATTCATTCTGCCAGACAGAAGGAGGCCACAAACAATGCCACAATGCTGACTTCCCAGACTAGGAGTTCAAGGATGTTAACCTCTTACTCTTTACAAAGACTTTAATTACTTGGGGATTTATCAGACATGGACTCTTACCAGTCTTCAAACTGCATGTGAACATTCCCTCATCACTCAAGCATCAAGGAAGATTTATGCAAATGAGACATTCAGCTACCACCTCAAGGGAAGACTCCAGTCTCCGCCCTTAGCACTGCAGGGTTTTATGAATGACTGCAATCAATGCAATGAATGGCTGCCAACTACCCACTCAGTCACTTCTACTCTTCCCTGCACTTACACACAGGAGAAACAAGTATTGCATGAGCCTGCCAATGAGACTATAGTAAGGCTTTCATCTCACCAAACAGGAACTAAGTGTGCTTCCTATACAGTATGTAAATTAAAAATCCTAAAGTCCTCCCTAAATTACAATTTGCATAATTACTTTCTTTCTTTTGACTTTCCATTTTGGTGCCTGCAATCACTAGCACCCCCACCAGCAAAAATATAAAAAATAAAAAAATCCCACTATTTTATGAAACCTTATCTCAACTTGAACTTTATCAAAATTGTTTTATCTTTCATGATTAATGCCAGGAAACTAGTTTCTATGCACTAAAGTTGCCAAATAGATTGTGACAGGTTTACATTTCTGTTCTCAATCCTTTGGTTTTAGAATTTTACTGAATTTTTCCTATCATCAATGGAGACAACAATTACATCCTATTAGTGCTAAGAGAAAAGCTTACTCCCCAAATGTTATTGTGCTAGTCTGCATTTGTCAGAAGAGGCAGCTAAAGCAACATCATAAGGTTAACAGAATGAAACATTCTTTTAAATACACAATCTTCTGATTGTTGCCCACTGATTAAAAATACATAGAAACAAGAAAATACTTAGACAAGAAGGGAACTCATGGGCGTTAGAGCCGGCCACTTCTAAATCTCCACGCCATTAGCCCAAAGTACCTAAAATACATGCAAAAGTCCTATCTCCACTTCGTTCCCCACATAACTCCAGACATCCAACAGCCTCCTTTTCATTTGAATTTCTATGGGCCTCTCAAAATCAGTATTTCCAAAATGGAATTCTTCATCTTTCCCACACCCCCTAACCCTTCTCCCACCCTCAAATCTTCCAGTAGCCATCTCTATCTTGGCTAAATTGAAAATACATTTCTCTATCTGTTCAGGCTAAAACCTTTAGACTTGGCTCCTCTTTTCTTTCACACCTGTGTCTGTCCAATACACCAGATTGGTTCTACTTTCAAACCATGCACTGCACCTGACCATTCCTCACCTCCACTACTGCCATGCTGTTCTGAGCCAATATCACCTTTTACTTGGATTCCCACAACAGATTTTAACTGGTAGCCGGACACTTACTTTTGTCCTCCTGGAGTTTATTCTCAACACATCAGCCAAACTGACTCTTGAGAGAGAAATCAGACCATGACTTCAAAATCTTGCACTGGCTTCCCTCCCCGCTTTCCCACTAGCTCCCTCTGCTCCCAAATCACCAGCCTCCATGCTGGTCTTTCTCAGACATTCCAGGTGCGATCTTATGTTAGGGCCTTTGCACCAACCCTTCTTTCTGGTGGAATGCTCTTTCCTGATTTGTATGACAAACCAGGTTTGCCCCTTTCAAGTCTTTGTTCATAGGTCAGTCCTTGATGGTTCCTAGTTTGATCATCCTACTTACTACTTACTACTGTTATCTACTTCCCCCTCACCACCACATCCACACACTTCCAATACCCTTCAACTTGCTCTGCTACTTACAAAAATGCACTCCCTCCTGCTGCTGAAATATGAGCTGTGCAAGAGCAACTTCAAGAGCCTAGAACAGTGCCTGACATAATAGTCACTAAATATTTGTTAAATGAGTGAATAAGATTTTAAAAAAAGCCAAAAGCTGTAGAGTTCAAGCTTGAGTAACTAATTTTACATACTAAGACAATGATTTAGAAAAATTATAGGTAATACCTTTTTGTAAGATTACAGCGTATTTTTTAAAATATTTACAAACTATAAATTAATTCATGGCCAATAAGTTTTGTGTAACTCTGCTAAATTTGTTCTGTATTGTTTGACTAAGGTTCTGAACAAGAAAAAAATGTATTTGTCAGCATATGACTATTTTAGTGGAAAACACTGTTTAATTGCTTTGAACCAGTGAGAAATTATTTTAACATCTGTACTGATAGTTTACCAAATAAAACTTTAAAATAATTATACATAAAGCAATTTCTAACAGTAAAATCATAAAAATCAATCTCCTTTTCCTCTTTTCCTTCTGATTTTTCTAAACAGGGTAGGAAAATAAGAACTTCTGTCTATTAACACTTACTTTGTACCAAAATGTACACAGAATATTTCATTTAATGTTCACCATAACCTACAAGGAGATATGATTGTCCCACTTGACAGATGAAGAAACAGTAGATCTAAGATATTACATTATCTTTCCAATGATAAATGGCAAATGTTGATATTTTAAGAAGCCAAGATTCGTATCAAGGGTCTGTTTGGCATCAACATAATGTCCTTTCCATCATTACAAAATACCTCCTGCCATTAATACTTGAAAAATGAATTAAAAGTAATAAACATCAATCATGAAGTTACAGAATCCAG